AGCAGACTCCCTGCCGAGCAGGGAGCTCGATGCGGGACTCAATCCCAGGACTCCAGGACCATGACCTGAGCCGAAGGCAGTCGCTTAACCAACTGAGCCACCCAGGTGCCCACAAAGAGAATTTTCTTAAAAATCCACATCCCAGTCAGAAATATTTAGCCCTGATGATTTCTTTTAAAACCAGGTGAGAGAAGCTTTCATACCATGTGACAGAGGCAGGGGAAAAAAAAAAAACCTCCAACCAAAAGAGAAATTACCAGGTTAGCAATTATTAAATGGAGGAGTTACAGTGTTTTTTCATCCTTCATACACATGATTATGTCTATTTAGGGCTTTTGTTTGGTCTTCACACATGCATTTACCATTTTCAGTTTGAGCCAGGAAAGGCGTACATTTAGTTCTGCTAATTTTTCTTTCTGGCATCTACTCTTTTTAGGCTGATATGCAGCAAAAGAAAGAGCCTGTTCAGGACGACTCTGACCTGGATCGCAAACGCAGAGAGACAGAGGCTCTTTTGCAAAGCATTGGTATATCGCCGGAGCCCCCTCTAGGTACTTAAACAGTGTTACTGTTTTCTTAAATTTGTCTTGCATGGGATATACCATGTCCAGCGTTTACTATTCTTTTATGTCACTTTTATTTTTATTTTTAAGGAAATTCTGTGGCTTATGGTTCAGATGTATTTATTTTTTGATTTGAGGGGGCTGGAAGGAGATGGGGAGACAGTTTGTAGAGCTGGTAGCAATTTGCTGCTTATTGACTGATTATATGGTCAACCTTATCTACTGTGGACTAGTAGATTATTTTATACTTGTTAGATGAGTTGCCACATGGTAAATACAAGAAATCTTGGAGTTTTTTTCCTTAAATTGTTCTTCATTTTCATGACTGAATCCCAACGTCTCTCTGCCAACCTAAATACTGTGAATCTGGTTATGAATTTCATAACCACCACAGGCATAGAGTGATGCCATGATAAAAATAGAAAGCTCAGTGGGAAATGTGAAGGAAAACTGAAAATAGTGACAGATTAGCAGCTACTTAACAAGTTTAAATTTATTTGACTCTATTGTAGAACTTGGTTTCACTGCTAATTGGCATTCTCACTACAACACCCCTCCTCCAGCAGCTCATTCATTCGTAGTTAATTGTCCATGATCTCATTTTGTCACTAGGGTTTGGATATTGAACTATTTTTTCATTTGTGTTAGAGGTAAACCTCTACATGTGTTTATTCTGTCACTTACCTATATATCTCTCATGTGATAATTTATTTTATTTTTCTTTCTCCATTTGCTTTCCATACATTTCAGGGTAATCCTAGGGTGTCTGTAAAACTACACGATACCCAATATAGTAAAAAAAAAAAAAAAGAAAGAAAGAAGGAAAGAAACTTTAAAAATAATGCATATAAAACAATGCAGTATCAGGTCTCCATTTCAAAATGGTTTGTTTTCTTCGAATCCCATCATTGGCTTTTATATTAAAATAAATTTTCATTTATTTCCATAGTTACTTAAACTAAGAATAAAAGTTATCCCATGTATGACAAAATGACAAGTATTTTATTAATATAAATTTTAAAAAGCAATATATAATAAGCCTATGAATTATTAAGTATTGCTGGATATAATTTAATATATACACACACACCCCTAAACCACCATAAAAAAGCATTTTATACTAAACCTCAGTTTGTATTAGGTAAAATCATATGTCTCACAATGATAGAAGAAGCCCCTATAGGATGTTGATTAATCTGTTTAGCGTCTTTATGGTGTGGAAGATGTAACCTGTGGGATATTTGACTGATGGACCTTCTTAGAGGAGCTGATAGACTTTTTAATACTTAGTTGACCTGTGGCATAATTTAGACACTTTGCAATAATCCATTATAGTTTTGCCTCAAAATAGCCTTTGAAATTCTGTTGCAGTGTGAACACTGGTCAAACACCAGAGTAGTATGTTCTGTTTTCCTCTCTTCTACATAAAGCCAGCAATTAAACTTTCAGAACGAAACAGTTACATATCTCTGAACCATGACCACCACGACCAAATTCTGAGCTACCCCTGCATTCTTGCCAGGGCACCTGGCCAGAGTAGAGCCCATTTTCAATTTTCATCCATCTCTCCAACTTACCCTCTGACTTCCTGCAGCAGGTAATCAGTGAATTAATTGTGGGACCACATGAAATTCCTAGTTTCTTGACAGATCCGCCATTGTGTTCTAGGATTTGGACAAAATAGTTAAACCCTTTACTCTATTAAATAAAAGGAAATTGCACATGATTGAAACCAAATGGGAGTCCACACTTATGTATTGAAGTTCCTCTCCGCCCATATGGCTTCTTTGGCATGTGTGATACTGAGAACCCATTGAATTCATCTGGCCTGAAGCCATCTTGGCTATTCGGTACAGCTTCTATCTGAAGGACATTTGGCTTGTACCTGAAGGGTAGAGAAAAGGAAAACACATTTGCATTTCCTTTAGCTTTTTTCTTTTATTATCCTTGCTCTCACATAGTCAGCTTGCCGTCACCTCCCTCTTTGAGCTTCCCTCTCCTGTCTTTGGAACGGCAGTTTACTTAAGTGCCAGAGCCTGTGCCTTCCAGGGCTGCTGGAGGCAAAGGAAAACAAGTTCCAAACCCAGTAAACAATACAATGGGATGAAACTATTAATTAAATGTAAAAATAAAGCAGCCTGGCATTTTCCTTTGTTTCAAAGAGATTTTTAAATTACTAGGTTCACCGTTTAGCCTTTCTGTATTTGTCACTTAGTCTCTCAGAGACAGTGCAGTTTGCATTCCATGGAGAATGGATTACCCTCCAAAGCAGACATACAACAGCCTTGACTGACTCTCCTTGGCCATTTAAAATTACTCAGAATTACTTATTTCATAATCTTTCAAAGTTTTATAGACACCCATTTTATTTTTTAATAGGTCACATCTATGCTAACAAAATCAAGTGGAGAATTGGAATTGTCCAGATAGTTCACCCTAGAGAGATATTTAACTTGAAATATCTGGATAGCTGTTTTGATTCTCCATTTCACTTTGTTAAGATGGACATGGCCTTAGAATCCCTAAGATAATTTTGTCTAAATTCATTTCAAATTTTAATTTCTAAAATATGAAAAATTCACTTGACTTTCTTCCTTTTTTTTTCTTTTTTTTTTTTTTTTTTTCTTTTTTCTATCTTAATCTCTCCTGGCCATACAACCACTTTAATTTGGGCCCATTTGTTTTGATCTGTCTGACACTGCTCTTCTCCAGTGCAGTCGCTGCATTTTTTAACATGGGATACCTGTTATTTTCATTATTTAGTCCCAACCCCTATGTCTCCCTCCTCGAAATCAGTGAGCACTCCTAGTGAAGCTGGAAGCCAAGACTCAGGAGACCTGGGACCACTAACAAGGTAAGAAATATCCCTTTAAAAGGCCACAGTGGATGTCAATAATATTAGAAAACAGAGACCTAAGAAACCAGTGCCACTCTGTGGTGTGCTGTTAAGTGTCCATGCATCTGCAGGTATACTCAGCCAGTTTATGTTTAAGTTGATGGTGGCTTGCTATTTTAGTGGCATAGAAATTATTTTGAACTAGAAATGATAAACTTCTATGCTTCCTTGTGCTAATTGAGCACCATGTGTCTTGTTTGACAAACAGAAACACATCCATTAGCTTTGGCTTAAAAAAAAAGAGAAGGACCAAAGGCAAATGGAATATATATCCAGCTTCTCATTATTCTACTTTGGTTTTGGTTTCCATGGGAATTTTTGTGGAGAGCACTGAGATGTCCTAACCCTAAATTTAATTTTTTAAGCATGTTGTTTATTGGCTTAATAGAGTTGACTAATTTGAGAACTTGGTCCCCAAAGTGTTTTTATTATCATTACTAATTTTTATGATCATCAGGGTTGACTGTTCTGTTTTGTGAGTCAACTGCCAAATTTTTATTACACTATATATACTCAAAGGATTATGAAACTTCTGAAAGTGGATATATAGACATTTTCTAATTTGACCACTGAAGGGGTATCCAAAAGGTAAAGATGTGAAGAAGGAAAAGAGAAGTCTCGGTAGAGTCACGGTAACTTCCTTAATCCGGTCGCCTTCGGTAGGATTCCCACATGCTGGTGTACATAGCCAGGTGATATAAATGAGCGGGGTGTGGGATCCTGTGGCAACTGGTTAGGAAGCGCCCTTCTATAAAGGCCAGATGGTCTCCTCACAGCTCAGGCTGGTTGAACTCATGTGGGAATATCGACCCAATTTTTCCACACCTTTCAGTTTTTCTTGAGAAGCTAAAAATTCAAGTATTTATGCAACAGCCTCCTGAATGTTAAATGTTAATGGCTTTGTTAAAGTAGCTGTGGGCCAGATTTTGCCTGTGGGCTGGCAATTTGTGACCTCTGTCTTTAACTCTTAATTAAAAAATAAATCATAAAATACTAAAACTTCAAATGAAAGAAGAAACAGTCATCCACTATACTACTGTTCTAACCAATCAGCCTTTGCCTTGTCTATATACCTTTCAATCCTTGTGCACCTGTGTACATTTCTTGTTACTATGTATGTTACTGGATGAGAGGTATAAAATTTTGCATTTTTCTTTTTCCATTTAACACATTATCATCATAAGCATTATCTTTTGAAAGTAACTTGTGTCCATATAGGCCTAGGAAATTTTGGTAGAGAAAAAGACGGAAATCAGAATAGTATTAGCCTGAGCTGTAGGGTGTTAGTGGTGTGTGTGTATGTGTGTCTGTGTGTTTCTTTTTTTCTTTCTGAAACCAACATGTAAGTAAGACTGGAATTGTCTCACTCGTGTTGGCATGTTTCAGAATTGAGTATTTTCTTTTAATAGGGCATTTGGAAACCAGTGGATGCTGCTTTCAATGTAGGAAGAATGGAAGTAGAGGTTTTTTGGGCACCAGGCTGGTTTATTTTAGCAAATCGCCTTTCTGATTTGGGGGCAGCACATGTCTTCTCTCATCTTTTGCTTTGAACACATCAAAAGGTCTTCAAGGGGAGGAAAAAAAGTAACCACACGGTTATGTAAGATCTAACATTTTGTACAAGAGCTGACACAATATAATTGCATTCCGTAGGGGGTCCACTGGCCTATCATTAAGGTAATATATTTGCCTGTTTCTATACAACAATGGTGTTGTGTCATGAATGCTTCGCTTCAAGGGGTGCAGTTGGCAGCATTAAATTCTATTACTGACTTCACAGTTGATGAGCCCTTTTGAAAACTTTCTAGAGAAAGCTGACCTCTGTTGTTAGCTCTCTGGGGACAGCAGCAAATATTTCTTCTCCAGAACATCACTCTTCATTTCTTTGCCCACTTATATGATTTTTTTTAACTTAATGAATCACTTTGGAAGAGGTGAATCACAAATTCCAACGAACTTCAATTCTCGATAGGAATGTTCTGGCAAGGGCAACAGGAAGCCAATGACCAAATCCCTTGTTGAGCACACATTTCATAGGAATGCAAGAAAAATGGTATTGGAGAATTAATGATTCTCAGAAAAACTGAGCACCAAGTTGCCTCAGGAGAAGACATTAGGAATAGCTAAGTAAATCTTGCTCTCATTTTGGACTAAGGAAAATGCCATGTAAATTTATGTTTTTGCTTCCATAAATAGATATGGGAGTTAAATTTCAGAAGAACATTATACTTCAGCTTTTAAAATTCCACTTGAAATATCTTTTTCTGTAGAAGAAACATCTTTGAAAACAATTACTATTAACTTTAACACTTCATAAACCATGAGACTGGGAAAAGAGCTTGGTAAATCCTGAGAGTTCAGTTCCGTAGTCACAAATTTGCCAATGTGTGTGGAATTTGGGCTCTTTGAAGAATGGAAAATCTTTCAGAAGATAACTCAGAAATCAAGTGAACACATCTGGTCCTACGAAAAGGTGCACATACATTCTGTCATCCATGTGCTAGAATCTCAAACCAAAAGTGAAATTTTTTTTACAGAGCCAGAATAGGCAAACATTTCCTATGCGACCCCCGTGGGTGGTTAATTTGCAAATTGGCACACTTAATATACCCTGTTATACTAAAAAGATTAAAACAGGGCTTTAACAAAATCAAGTACAACAAAAATTCCTTTTATTGATTTTTAAGAGCAGTTGAGTTAATGTTTTAAAGTAAGTGAATAGAAAGTAGAACTATATAATCATTTTTCAATTATACTAGTGTGATTTAATTTTAACTTAAAGGGTCACAGTTTGTTTTGTAATTTCTGCTTCTGTTGTTACCGCCTGCTTCTCATTTACAACTTACATTTGTGGCATTTTTCTCTTTCTCTTAATTTTGGTAGAAGCAATTAATCATTGCTCAGTTAATTAGATGTAAAAAAAATCAATTTTATTAATAAAACATTTGAAAGCCTAGTTTTACTTATAAACATAGATTTAAAAATTCTGAATATACTATATGCAACTGAAATCCAGCACAATATTAAGAAGGTACTATGCTATGATTAATTAGGATTGATTAAAAAATTCAAGGATATTTTAGTATAGGAAAAGGTATTACTGTAATTCAGCATATAAAAAAGGTCCAAGAAGGAAAAGTGATCATTGTAGTATATAGTTAAATGATACTTGAGAAACTTAAACACCTATTCCCATATTTTAAAACTTTTAAAAATATTAAGAATAAAAATATTTTTTCTCAAAATGATTAGAAATACTAATCTGAGACCAACAGCCTACATCTCTTATACACAAGAGTGAAGCGTTTAATACTTCTGGTTAGCCTTTAAAGAAGAATGACTTATGTTTAGTTGAATACATGTCTCTCTTCCTCAGGAAATGGCAGGTTTCTTGAGGTCAGGGAGTAAGTGATATTTGAGATTGTATCCATATAGTGAGTTTTTGATAAATGTTGGTTGAATGAATCAATTATTATCCTAGTTTTTACAGATGAGGACACTGTGGCACAGAGAAAATGAGTAATTTTTGAAGTTCACACAGAATATAGCTACAGTGCTAGGTTTTAACCTAGACAGACTGATAGAAATTTTCACAATCTATATCACTACCCTACATGATCTCTGACAACAATTGATATAAGTGATATACATGACTTACCCCAAAAGATTATTATTAGGATTAAATAAATTAATATCTGTAACACACTTAGAAAAGGGTCTGGAATATATTAGTATATGTGAGTTTTAGCTCTTACTGGTTTTTTTTTCACAATTTATTAGTCACATTTTTCCAATGGAAAGAGATCTTTTTTAGATTCTCTCCTAAAATATGCTGGTGTCATTTTCAAGTTTGATAATGCTCTATCTTCAAGTAATTATGTGAAAATGTTGAACATGACAAGGCCAAGGACAGATTGTGGTCTGTGTCCCTGGAGACCACTTTCTGGGTTGCCCAACTCTTAATGCCTAACCTTCATATATTCCACCAGAAACGATTATCTAGGTGATAATAATCATTTGCCCACGTTTATTCTTCTCATTCCCATGAATGGCTCACCGAGGGCTTTGCACTAGGGCCCTTCCCATGTTTAGCCAAGATGCCTTAGGCTTCTCAGTGATAAAGCTAAATTGGAGGCTGTACCAGCCTGCACAATTCTGGGAAAGTGTGTTGACCACATAAAGTTCTCCAGGCCACCAGTGTGGAGGCAACACCCTGTCCCAAACCTGATTCAAGGAAGAAAATTTTCAAAATGATTTAAAAAATAAAGCATGTGTTAATTTGATAACATATTGTACAATCTACTATTACAATAGGACCACCCATCCCGTAACATCTTTAACAAAATAGTCAGAAGGGGAGGTTACTGATGTTTGTCTGTGGTGAGAAGGAGCATGGGGGATGAGGATAGTAACAGAAGTAATTTCTATCTTCTTTTTTGACCATCTGGTCTTAACACTTCATTAAGTTCTACTTTCCAAACAATTAGGACATTCAAATCCCCCTCACATTTTATTTTTAATAATCTCTTATTATTATGGAAACATCAGTGCATTTTATACAATTAGAACATATGGACAAGCAAAAACTAGAGAAAAATCATATTCCTGCCACCAGTGGTTAGCACTCTTAACACCCTAGTGTGTATTCCTTCACACAATGTATATGTCATCATATATATGATAAATGACGTCATTATACAAGCTGTTGAACTTGCTTTTCTAATCAAGTGTCCCTCTTTTTCCATTTCAATGCATTTTCATCTTACTTAATGTCTACACTATTTTCAGCTTTCCCCAATTGCTCCCCACATAATCCTATTGTATTTAAAATAGATCCCTGGTCCTCCCAGCGATCAGTATCTATTAACCAAAACTCTTATATCCATAGATTTTCTCTAGGGAGGTAAGGCCCCTCCCAAGGGGTCCTCAGTGCAGCAGCAGAAGAAATGTCTTGTGAA